AGAAGGTGCTTTCTTTTCTCCTTTTTTGGCGGGGGGGGGGGGTGTATTATAGTAGATCTATGGCTTCAATGATTAGAAAGTGTGGTTTTTGTTTGAGGGTGATGAAGAGAGTATGGTTTCGGGTGTATATATTGGATAAGGGCTCAGAGTTTACCCTACACCCTAAGCCCTTTTAATTAGTTTCGGCTTGGCGCAGGTGCCGAAGGAAGTAAAAATAGCGGTAGATGGGCGCCTCCTCAGTTGCAGGATTTAGGTGTAAGCGCCAGGAAAGAAGGGTTTAGGGTTTGGAAAATGGAGACCTTGATGTTGATGATGTCTCCAGAGTTTAGTAGTTTGGGGATAGAGGAGACCTTAGTATTCTTGCTTTCACCGGTTACGCTAAGGGCCCCGCAAAAGAAAGCAGCAGGAGGAGAGCAGGAGTCTCCTTGTCCTGGCTAGCGCCGTGCTCTTCTTACACATGGGTAGTTTTCAAAATGAGGGTCCCTTTAGGGTCCTTTTCATAAGGGTGCCGTACTACATTGGGGACCTAAAAAAGGACCCTAATTTAGAGAACTACCTACATTATGATCATAGGAGTGGGAGTCGGGTCGCTGTCGGAAGGCGGTCTCTAGAATGCGTCTTATCACAACATGCAAGCGTGTTCAGGAGTGTTTCAACACTTACTTGCTGAATCTCGTCTTGGGGGCGTGAGTACCCAGATCCTAAAGCCAAGAAACGAAACCGTTCGCTTTGTTCAGCAAAGCCACAAAAAATCAGGGCGAGCATGTCCTGCTCCCCAAAGCTCTACGGCTCTTTCGGCTGCAAAAGCATTATGTATGGCACAGACAGTGCAATATAAGCTTATGCAATGTACTTAAGATCCGGCTTAAGTTTCAGATAAGATAATATAATAATATGCCTTGCGGTGCGAGGTCCCTGGCTTCAGAGACTTGTGGAGGGAATTTAGCCACGGCTATGTAGCATTTTGAACATAGCTAAACTTATCAGCCCGCTCTGAGTCTGCAGTTTGTTGAAGGCCAGATTCTTGGGCGGTGTTGGGTGTCATGAAAGTATCTCAAGAATCTTGGATGTCGTCGCGATGCTTCTGCAGGCACACAGGCCTCTAGATGAAGGCTGCTAGCCTCTCCGACGACCTCCACCCTGAACCACATAAACCCGAAGCCCTAAACCCTATAAATCCTGAACCCTAAACCTAGAATCCAAATCCCTTGGCCCACTTCTTCAGCGGGGGCCAGTTCGCAGTTGCAACGCTCACGCAAAGCCAATAGTTGCTCAATAGCTCATGCTTCTGTGCTGGTCAAGAGGTCTGTTCAAAGGCGGTAAGTATGTGAGGGCGAAGAAGCATTTGAGCTACATGACACGGCGTTCCGAGCCACGAAAACTGTCGTGAAACAAGCATGCTCTTGAAGACTACCACGACACTGGTGCGATTACTGCAATCATCATCACCACCGCCACCACCACCATCACGACTCCTACTCCTGCTCCTACTCCCTAAAGCGTCGCCGGTTCCGAGGATCGCTGGCCGCGAGTATCGCTCAGCCAAGGTCCTGCGAGAGTTCTGCGGCCCCAGAGTTCAGTTGGGATTTGGCAAGGCTTGGTGGTTCCTTTCTAAGGGGTGCAGATATCTGATATGGGTGTCTATAAGGGTCGCTTTTTAAGGGGTGCTTATATGGGTGTCTATATCTACAAGGATTCTTTGTGGGTTTAGGGTTTCTGGTGGTTTTGGGCTTACGGATTTGGAGAGGTTTGTGCATCTTGGGTCCCTGTATTGTGTTTGGGGGAGTCCCGTCCCGGATTGGCTTCAAGGATTG